ATATATATATATATGACTAGTTTCTCTTAGTACTAAACCTTTCTTTGATGATTTCCCGATAGAGGAGGAACGCTGAGGTGGAAGCAATGACTCAAAAGCGTCGAGTTAAGGAAGAAGAGAAAAAGGTAAGGTATCATTATCAGACCTATATTCGAGGGGGGGAAGACCACTTTCATAGTACAGCTCAATGGCAACTGTCATTTACAGAAGGCATACACTGTGAATGGTATTCCATCAGTATCCAGTGGTATTTCATCCAATGATATTTCATCCATCGGTATCCAATGGTATTTCATCCAGTGCGATCGAATGGAATGTCATGTATTTCTCCTACTTGGTAACCTGGCTTTGACGCTTTGCCAATATATAGAGAAAGAAGGCCGAGGAGGCAGCATCATTTGCAAGGAATAAGGAGAGGCGGCAAATTGCTCAAACCCAGATGCAACTAGCAAGGATGCAACATGGAGCAAGGATGCAACAACTAGCAATGATGCAACGTGGAGCAATGATGCGACATGGAGCAAGGATGCAACGTGGAGCAATGATGCAACGTGGAGCAATGATGCAACATGTAGGAAGGATGCAACAACAAGCAATGATGCAACGTGGAGCAATGATGCAACATGGAGCAAGGATGCAGCAGGAAATGATGAGACATCAGTTGAGTCATATGAACATGGGGGGTTGCGAAGCTGACCACGGAGGGGGCGAATACGGGGGCATGGGTGGGCAGGGCTTTGATTACGGAGGGGGCGAATACGGGGACATGGATGGGCAGGGCTATGAATACGGAGGGGGCGAATACGGGGGCATGGATGGGCAGGGCTATGATGGTTGCTATGATGGTTGATACCAAATAACTAAAGGTCCTGATCTCGAGCCCGATTGCAAAAGGCACTTAAAACCTAACTTTTAGGAGCTCCTGTGTTTGTGGAAAGACACATGCACCTCGAGAACATTGAAAAGTTCAATATATCTATCGATAATTGCACACCCAAATGGGCCCACTAACAGTCCGTGCTTTCACAGCTTTTATCACTTACTTAATGGTGTGTTTTGTCTTGCTGTGATTCTTATTCTTGTCTCCGTTTGAAAACTATCGATGAAAGTATGATGTTGTGTCGCGTTGATAGCCTTGCTGTGATTGCAATAATGATGCAGTGAGACGAGACACGAGTGTGTAGAATAGACTTGATATATCCACACCAATGCAGTGCCTATGTTCATTTAAACTTCCACAAAGGAAGTATAAAATCTGATTAGCTTCAGCAAGGAGGTCTTTGCAGTAAATCACGTATCACCCTCACTTACCAGGAACGTAGAACTAGAAGAAAAAGAACCCAATTGCACGACAGTTGTATATCCGTGAGCAGTTTCATCAGGTTGGTAAGACACTGAGTAAAGAGACTCTTTTTACACAACAAGTTTCGGTCACCGTCTGTCACCTTCCTCGGGGCAATTCTTGGTTGTGTAAAAAATAGTCTCTTTACTCTCGACAATTGTACATGGTACAATGTATGGCAACGACTACTGAACAAAGCACAAAGAGAAAAGGGATTAATAGGTACCATTACATGATGTACTGAGGAACTATTGTATTCGGATACATGTAAGTATATGATGATATACAACTGAGGTGGGTAGTTTTCCTTTCAAAGTATATCATTATCAAATGCATTATAACCGGTAACCAAGTAAATCAAGCTTCTTGCAGAAAGGCTAACTGGTGTATTGCAGTGTTATTTTGGACATACGTGTTATTTTGTACATATGCATTGAGGTGTTATATTGGACATATGTATTGAGGTGTTATATGGGATATATGTATTGAGGTGTTATATTGGACATATGTATTGAGGTGTTATATGGGATATATGTATTGAGGTGTTATATTGGACATATGTATTGCGATGTTAAGTTTGACACATATGTATTGCGGTGATTGAACAAATCTATGACAAGAATACAATGCCTTTAGCTTGATATTGGCATCGTGTGTGATTTTGAAATACTAAGACATCTGGCATTTCACAGTAAATCCCGTAAGAGGTAAACGCTTCTGGTGAAAACTTGGGACATATCAATTGACCTGTCACAGACATACATTCATTGTTGGACTGATAATTAACCTTTACCTCTTTAACAGAACTTTTATGTGATGTTACTGTAGAGCGCTTGGTAAAAATAAAGAACAAAAGCAAATGTGAAGCGTTTTGGTATTGTTTTAGGATTTTCCATCATAAATAATACAAGAAGGCGTTCAAGCAACAATGTACAACCAGCGTGAGGCATAATAATATGCTGGAAACATCACAAATTCGTCGTCATTTCTATGACAGTTTATCATTTTAACTAACAGTATTCATGTACTTTCTGCAACATTGTATTACGTTTCGATAAATTCAAATATCAAAGTTGTCTCATGCAGTTGAACGTATGATTTTTACCGCAAATTTGTCGCCAAGGAATTGTTTCCTTTTTTCGGAGCATATTAGAACAATCTTCCCCACCAACCTCTGCTTGGAGAGTAGCCAAAAGTGCCTCCTGGCGACATGTTCGTAAACCGTGCTAAATACTATGAAGATACCTTCTCTCCAAGGCTATGGTTGCTAGGTGTATCCCATGGTGCACCGCAGTTTATATCGAGGAGTAAAAAGCACAACCTGTCCCGAGGGACACCCAGGGACAAACACCTGATGAGTTAGGGTCTTTCACGATTCTTTATTTGGCTTATGTCTGAAAGTACTATTATCAAAATATGCTTGTAATGCTTATAAAGGTTTTATCATGGTCATCTGGCCTCCCCATGTTACCGGTACCATTGGAAGGAAGCTTGGCAAAGCCCAAACCCATATTAATATTCATATCTTTATCGTCATATATAGTACTAGTAATCGCCAGTGCGTAATTATGAAGACCGTCTGTAAAACCTATTCATCTTTATAACAGATGAATGCACCCATTCATGGATATGGTCCCAGAGTCAAAAGCAATTTTGGTGACCGATTGAAACAGCTCAATTATCTTTACCACACGTCACTCCTATTGTTGTCCTGGGCGTGTCTTGTGAAGATATTGTATACAAAATACAAAAGAACACCTGTAATGACTTTCCACTTCAAGTGTCACATTCAGATATAGGCGGAGAGCATTCGACAGTAGCGAGTCATTTCGTATGAAAACTTCTGCATTTAGTATCACTACATTCCATTACTCCAGGTTTGAACCATCGTACATGTACATTGTATAGATCGATGCATGTGCTGTATAAGGAAAACATGATTTGTAATAACCATATGATAGTAGAGAAGTTACTGCAACAAGACAAACTTCTCTTCGGAAAGTTTCATTACTTTACCTGTTCACTCAAATATAAACATTAATATGTAGTGACATATGAGATATTCTGACGTGGCTCTCCCCCCAAAGAAACTCCATAGGGAAGATTGGTCATGTCACTCTGAACCTACTTGTCGCCAAATAAGACTACACCCACAGACAGAAACTGATGCTATCAGTTAGTTTCATCAAAATGCTTTTTTATGACGATGGTTTGAGATCTGTATTTACAGAATGTGACTTGCGGAATCAAACAAGAATGGGTACGGTTAGCCCTCACTAAAATATCAAACACCATACTCATACCATATGTCTGTACTGTATTTATGACTGCGGCTGCAGTGCAAAATAAAACATATAAAATATTTGCAATATACTGAACACTGATGTTTGCATTGTACATTATAACATGTCTGTGTCACACCATTGTACATGTATACATGGTGTGCTGTGTAAGGAAAACATACGTTGTAATACTAATGGTAATAGTAAAGAAGTTACTGCAACAAGACAAATATCTTGCTTGAACTGTTAACACACAAGTAGGAATTGCTATATAGTGACATAAATTCGCACAAATACATCTTTTTGTATTTACAAAAAGTGACAGTTTAACAAGACAGACATTGATACATTATTATTATGTCTGCTGAATACGATATTCACCAATTGCAAATTATTTGAAAAAGAAGTGATGATTTTCCTTCAGTTGAAACTACTATATGTATTCTACTACTAGACATCTAGTCTATAATCGGTCTAAATAAGTCTTTACATTGATAAGAAGTCTTTACATTGATAAGAAGGAAACTATGTTTAACCAATTGCCATTCGTTTTAGCGTTTCATCTTGACTTATACCAACTTGAAGGCAGTTCACATTACTTGTTACTAGTACTTATTCCTCGCTTCCCGAGAGTATCCGGATGAATGAAATAAAAGCTCAA